CAGTGTTATTTAAGGCGTTAAGCGAACCGAAGCGACCAAGGCTCTTAACGCCTAGGCGAGAAGCGAGAAGCGAAGCGAAACGATTTACCAAAGCGAAGCGAGCAGTTAAAAAAATAAATAAATATTTTAGTGTAATTACTTATACACATCAAAGTTTTAATTTTATATATACTAAATATTTAAATACAAGTAAAACCATAAACATTTAAAGTAAAACCATAAACATTTAAATTAAAACAAACACTAATAATATTGCAAATTTTAATAACAGTTATAGTTTAAACATTTAAATTCATACAAATACTAATAATATCCCAAATCCTAATATTTAAAAACATAAGACACATAATTCAAGCAACTAAAGAAAATATCTCAAGGACTTAGAAATCAATCCTCATCACTAAAGAAATCATCTTCTTCATTATCCTTAGATTCATATCCCTCAGTATCCTCCTCCTCTGCCTCATCTGAAATTATGTCTTCCTCATCTGTGAGTCCAGTCGTCGATCTTGTAAACCTTGGTGTTACCCTAGTAGATGGTATTGATCTAGTCCGTTGGCTACTTTCCGTAACTGCAGAAGCTCGAGCGACTTCGCCCCAAGTCAAAGTATCATCACCAAACACAAGCTCATTATCTTCATCTGTGTCTGCATCCATTCTCCCAATCAACCACTCATTGCTATCATCAATATCCTTCAAAGATATTGGATCAATTGTGTCACGAGAATCATATCGGCGCCTCAAAGCTCTATTATACTTAACAAACACCAAATCATTGAGACGGGATTGAGCTAGTCTATTTCTTTTTTTGGTGTGTATCTGCAATAATTTATTAACAATACATTAAAATTTATAATAAGATTAAAAAAAAATGTAATTGAAGAGGTTTGAGGATGATACTTACATGCTCAAACACACTCCAATTTCGCTCACAACCGGATGCACTACAAGTAAGGTTTAAAACTTTTTTTGCAAAGGTTTGCAAATTTGGAGTTGCAGACCCATATGCACTCCACCAATCAGCTGTGAATAATGAATAACAATTAATTAACTAACATATTTAAGCAATGATAATGAAATAAGCTTGTGGGATAACATAGATTACCTGGTGCCCTAGTTGTTCTTTGTCTAACCGCCATGGGCAACTTAAAGAGGTTTTCACCTTTCATGTAAATACTCAACTCTTGACCAATTTTATCTTGTATCGCAGGATTTGAGACCAACTTTTCCAAACATTTATATAGGCCATTCATGACTTCTTGATCTTTCTCAACCTCTGGATTGGAATAGAAAAACTCTGGGTTCAAAAAATACCCAGCTGCATGCAAAGGCCGATGCAATTGAACTTCCCACCTTCGGTCAATGATTTCAAATATGTGTTTGTACTTCTCTTCATTGCCATTAAAAGAATTAGCAATCGCTTCTTTAGCCCGGTCCATAGCTTCATAAATGTACCCCATGGGAGGCTTTTTCTCACCATCAACCAATCGAAGCACACGGACAAGAGGGCCAGTAAGCTTAAGAGAGTAGACAACATTACTCCAAAATGAAGGCATTAAAATGATTTGTGCTGTCCTTTTGCCTTGTTGTTCTTTTGCCCATTTGCTTGTAGTCCATTCCTCTGAAGTGAACATTTTTCTCAAGTTACCTTTTTGTTGGTTGATCCTTGTTAGCGTAAGAAAAGCCGTAGCAAATCTAGTTTTTGCAGGCTTAATCAACTCCCTTGACTGGGTAAATC